AATCATCCGGTGTTCTACGCACATCTGTTTTGAATGTGAGCTGTGTCTTGACTGGATGTTTGACATTCTTGACAGTCAGTCTGGTGTCCAGTGTAAAAGAAGGGATCTATTCCTTATATAAAGCACCAGACTGTGCCGTCAAGAACGGTGTGTGGTTAGCAAAAGATAGGTTATTCTGATTACACAATTTCTCTAGGATTTTGTTGTTTATGTCGGCCAGTCGACGCTGGTGCAGTAAAATGGAGAGATAATGATACTAGACAAAAATACAGAAGATATGGGAGTGTACGATTCAATGAATCAAGTAGCATTCACGGCTGGAAATTATAGATCTTTTTATTATTCCTTGTCTCCCTTTTCGATGTTTGTACTGTAACTTTTTGATATTGCAGTGCCCAGTCTCTTTCATTAGTCAAATAAGTGTTGTAAGCTGAACACTTACTTTGCTATTTATGTGTACCGGAGGTCAGAGGCTGATCGCCTACGCCAGTCATCAAGACGCTAGCTGATGATAATGACAGAGATGAGTGCAAAAGGTCCACGCTGCTTGAAGTTGTGAAACAGTTGTTGCAAGAGATTAACCTGTCGCAGCGGCTCCACAGATGTTGTGAGACACAAGTGTGACCGGCCGCTGAAGGTGAACCCGTGTCCACTTATGTGTTTCTCAATTTCTGAGATAGAGTGACGTGTGTAGACTTGTGTGACTTTTGTGTGTAATTCTGTAAATTATTTTATTCCGTTGGAGAGTTTAGACTGTTGAGTGGAATTAAATGTATTATCTAGAATACTCCAAATGAGTATAGTTATTGGAGACCAGACGGTGAAGTTGATTTATAAGATCATACTTAGCGGGTTGTAATATTTCACAGCACTCGTAGACAATGTGGGGGTGTCTGTGGCTTAGGCGTTGCTAACGCGCTTCATAATGCTGAAGTGCCGTTTTCGATCCCAGCTGCGGACCATTTGTCGTGCGTTGGTTTCGACAGTGGTACCAAGAGCTGACCGTTCGGTGGGCAATGACAAACTCATCATCATCAACAGGTGCCTCGTCGACTGACGTGGGCGATCATGCCTCTCCACAATCAACGATCTCCTGCAGCATGTATCAGTTCGTGTGCTGACAAACCTCCATGCCATGCAACAAGACTGTCTTTTTTTAAAGCATCCAGAAACCATGAGTTGTAAACCCTTTGGCTCGGTACCATGGATATTGCAACCCCTCTGCCTTGATTCCATTATAGGTACTGTTAATCTGGGAGAAATATGGCCTTTCTGCCTACCCCCGGGAGTGAACCCGGACCACAAGGAGTTCGTCACCCGCGAAAGTCAGATTTAACCAACTATGCTAGAGAGCCGGGCAACAAAACTGTCAAGAATCCTCTCTCGTTGTCTTTCTTTATCCCTCCTTCCATGGAACTTTTCAGTGGTCACAACATGTTTCATTTTCCTTTTTCTCATAACGTGGCCGAAAAATGATGACTGTCTCCTTCTGATGTCTGTGATAAGTTGTCTTCGGGCTCCCGCCTCTTTCAAAATCTCTTGGAGACCTCAAAAAATTGTTTGGCCTGCTACCAATTGTCCAAATGTTAAAACTGGATGTATGTAGCAAGCAAAAATTCTTTTTATAACCTTCAATGACAGAGATATATTGCACAAGATGTTCTTCATTTTATAAAATACAATTTTTGCCTGTCCTATTTTGTTTTTTATCTCAGTTATGCATCTTTCATCTGATGTTATCCATGTGTCCAGATACTTAAATTTATGTACTTGTCCTAAAATAACACCATTGAATTTCATTACACATTTAGGAATGATTATTTTCTCTGACACCATCATTACTTCTGTCTTCCCATTATTCAAACCGAGGCCCATTCTTCCACTTTCTAACACCACAATGTCTGTCATTTCCTGTAGTTCTTTCCGACTTGTTGCTATCAAGACTGTGTCATCATATTATATCCACCAACCACAATTCCGGGCATATCAATTAAAGATCTCATTATATATTTACTGTACACCCCCGTGTGGGTTCCGGGGCCCCATTGTGGGGAAAACAAGAATAGACCCACTGCCTCCCCAAAAGCATGTCGTAAGAGTCGACTAATTGGGGAGCTTCCTTTGAAGTCGGAGTGCATCTGCCGGAGAGGCAAGGAACCAACAGTCTGTATTCAAGAGAATGAGATCTGTAAAACTGATGCACACGCAACACTCAGGTTCTGGAGCAGGACTGCAGTTCAGTAGTAGACGAGCAACCAGAACCTTCCGCCAGAGTTTACAGCTGGTGAACGAAAAGAAGAAGAAGAAGATTTACTGTACAGCGAGAATAAATCAGGTGACAGTATACATCCTTGTCGTACACCCCTCTTTATGCACTGACATGTACCTAAAAAGTTGTTAATTCTTGTAGCTGCTGTTTGTTGCCAATGCATATTCGTTATTATTCGTATATTTTCCCCATCAATGTTTAATTTTTTTTAAATAGTTTGTTTCCTTCTTCATGTTTCAAACAGTCAAATGCTTATGTATAGTCTAAGAAGCATACGTAAAAATCAGACTTTACTTCTGTAGCTCTTTCTGACAATCTTTAGGATGTATATGACATTGTTTGTACCTTTTCTTTCTACAAATTCATATTGCTCATCGCTTATTTCTGGTTTAATTTTGCTTCTTTTTCTTCTCACAATTATTCTCAGTAACATCTTAGTCATGTGACTCATGATGTTTTTCACATTTTAAAGTGCCTGGTTTCTTTGGCAGAGCTTTAAATATAGATTTTAAAAGGTCATTTGGAATGTACCTACTATTATAAATATCGTTTACAAATTTAGTTATTATTTCAATTTAAAAATCTGAGTGTTTCGATTTCTTCCAATGAGATGTTGTCTGGCCAATGTGCTTTTCTTTCTTCATGTGATGCAATGTATCCTCACCTTCTGCAGTCATTATTGGTGGACCATCATTGCTGACCTGCAGTTCTACATTTGTTCTATTATCATCATACAATTCCCCTAGATACTCTGTCCATCTGTTAATTATATGTCTCATTATAAGTTCGCTATCTTTTGATTTTAAACATCCAGTGCAGTTACATGTCATCTTTCTTGTTATCATATTTATCTGTTGTTACATGGAATATGAGTCTTTTCAGTGATTTTCAACAACCTCTGTACACATTTGATTCAGCCAGGTTTTTTAGCCACTTTGCATTTGTTTACTGTTTTTTATTTTAAATTCTAAAGTAGTCTTCTTTATCATTCTTTTTCGTCCTTTTTTCATTTATCAACGGCATAATTTCGGTTGACATCAATTTCTTTTTTTTTTTTGGGCAACTCTGTTATGGGTTGGTGGGATTGTCTCTTTTGATGACTGCTGAACTGACTCACGCAACATAACCGTCTCTTCATCAATAGCCTGTATTGTTTCCTATATATTTTATTGGTTTTGTACGGTGACATCGTATTCTTCATTAATTTCTTTATCCGTTGTAAGTATTCCTATATTTAACATGATGTTCTGTGGTGTTTCTTAATATTCTTTAGTTTTATTTTTATCTTTTCTATAACTGGAACATGGTCACTAGAGCTCCTGGTCTAGTCTTTGCTCCAACTAAGCTGCTCCGGAATCTTCTGAAATCAAAATATAATCAATCTGATTGTGGAAATTATCGTCAGAACTTTTCTAAGTCCACAATCTTCAAGGATATTGTTTAAACCAGGTGTTACCTATTATCATGCTGTGCGACTCAGCCCATGCTATTAATCTGTCACCTCTCAAATTCTTTTCTTCCAGGCCATAACGACCCGTTATTCCGACAACTTTTTCACTCCCTATTTTTGCGTTGAAATCTTTAAGTACCATTGTTGCTTCATAATTTTTGCATTGATCAACAGCCATGTCTAACTCGTCATAAAATGCGTCAATATCTTCTTCTGAACTATCTGCTGTTGGTGCAACAATCTGTACTAAGTTGATGTCAAACGGTCAGCCATGAAGTTTTACCAATAGTTCTCTATTTGATATTGTGCACAATCCTTTTCACAGTTGTTATGTTCTTTGGATATAAAATAATACTAACTTCCTTACTATATTCCTTCCCACCTAATAAATAATTCTGCTCTGATCTGAATACTTTTACCCCCTTTTGTTGTTGTTGTTGTTGTATGCACAGAAGTAATGGTGGTTTCAAAGAAACGAAATATTCCTAAATGTGTTATAAAAGTCGATGGTATTATTTTAGGACAAGTACATAAATTTAAGTATCTGGGCACATGGATAACATCAGATGGAAGATGTATAACTGAGATAAGAAACAGAATAGGACAGGCAAAAACTGCATTTTATAAAATGAAAAACATCTTGTGCAATATATCCTTGTCATTGAGAGTTAGAAAAATAACTCTACATACATCCAGTTTTAACACATGGCTGTGAATCCTGGACAATCGGTAGGCAGGCCAAACAATTTCTTGAGGCCTTAGAGATGTGGTTTTACAGAAGAATGCTTAGAATACCTTGGAAAGCCAAAAAAGAGCAACCAAGAGGTTTTGAAAGAGGCGGGATCCTGAAGGCAACTTATCACAGACATCAAAAGGAGACAGTCATCATTTGTCGGCCATGTTATGAGAAGAGGGAAAATAGAACATGTTGTGACCACTGGAAAGATCTGCGGAAGGAGGGATAGAGGAAGACAACGAGAGTAGATGCTTGACAGTCTTGTTGCATGGCATGGAGGTGTGTCGGCACACGAACTGATACATGCTGCAGGAGATCGCAGATTATGGAGAGGCATGATCGCACACGACAGTCGGCAAGACACCTGATGATGATGATGCACCAAGCACTATTTATTCAGTAAACATTACGACAGAACACCACAAAGACAAGTTAATTTTTTTTAACCAAATATTTCCTGGAATTTCTGAAATAAACACACAGAACATTGTGACTTCTCCTATGAGTTACTTCTGTGGTGCGGTAAAGAACTGAATGTTACTGGATTAGTAGACCTTCTGTTCTTGGCGCTGAACATTTGCTCTGCTGTGGTTTTTCAACAAGTAGTCAGTAAACTCCTGGTAAGGAGGTCTGGTAAACACAGTTTCCTTCCAGAGGTCGGGGGTTAGATACGAATATGTCTTTGCAATCGCTGTGTAGGTAGCTATAGAGAAGTTCCCCAGAGTGGAGGTTGCAGCCCTGGCAGAGGTGTAGCAATCTTCAATCAGAACCATGGTCAGGAGTTTTTTGGGCACAGGGGCACTGACAATGTCAGTATCTCTTGGGGCTGGAATCAGCCTCCCCAAAACACTGCCACATTTCCTAGTGACTTTGCGCGGCACTGTATGGGGTTTTCCAATTTTGTTGCCCCAGTAGCCTCGCCTCACTGGAACGACTGAAAGTTTGGCAAGTATGATGGCTTGTCGGATGGCAGTGGCCACTTCCTTAGAGCCCTGCACACCCAGTCCAACGTGACCATTGTAGTCTCCAACTGCTACAAAATCCCTAAATCTGGTTCTTTGACCGGCTTCTGACCAGGCATACATAATCTTTAGCACTTCATCCTTCAACGTCCTAGGTGGCAGGAAAAAAAGTCAATGATGTCACACTCCTTGATTGGCAGTGAGAAGAGGTAAATCTCTTCTAATGACCTAATTTTGCCATTTTTAACGAGGAGCCCAAGTTTGGTCACGGGTACCCGCTCCTTGTCACCATCCTTAGCACCTCGTCCACGTCCTCTGCCACGGCCACGACCTCTACCCCGACCACGACCTCTAGCCCGACCACGGCCTCGACTCCTGTCTCCAAAGCCACCACGAAATCCCACCCCTCGTACTATCACCGGCTGGTGCTGCAGCTGCGTCCGACATTGGTGATTGTTCTATCGATCGAATACTTTTACCCTTCTCCTTGCCATCGCATTTCACTAATTCCTTTTAAGCTGATGCTCATTCTCTTTATTTCTATTTTGCTGTCATCAAACTTTTTTTCACTAAAATAATGGGGTTGGTTCTGCAACGTCATGTAAAGGATACGCATCTAGCTTCTTGTTCTTCTTCTTCTCTTCCACCTTGTACCTCATCGAAGTGTCGGAGGGAGATGTAATGTTCGTTGATGAGCTCTGCCAAGAGCACTATTGAGACTGATGTTCATTTCTGCAAGGCTGTTCTTAATGCCATCACTCCATATTTTCCGAGGTCTTCCAATCGCTCTATACCCGTTGTAACGTTTTAGTGTGGCTCGCTGTGGCAGATAGTACCAGTGCATTCATGTAAAGTGTCCAAATCACTTCATTTTTTTGTGTGGATGACCTGTAAGACTGGTTTTATTCCCAGCATTGGTCTGATTTCGTGATTTCGTATTCTGTCTTTCCTTGAAACTCCTGCAGTTCTTCTAGGGCATTTCATCTCTGTTTTACGCATCTAACTAACGTACACAATGCTAGTTATAGTGGTTTTCCTGTTGTCGTTGGCCTCTCCTTGCTCTCCGATAGAAACCTAATTGTAGTTTTGTCAGTTGAGGGTGCTCCTGTATGTGACTGGTGCAAGTCATACACCATGGGCGTTTGGTAGGTGCGTTAACTCCTGAGAAGTCATTTAACAAAAAGTCTGTCCACTCCTGCGCCCGGCAATGAAATAAAAGATACCAGGTCGTTGTCTGATGTAGACATAAGATCACTGTGTATACCCTTTTTAACAGAGAGTACGTAATTATAAGATGTATCGAGTCTGCTCCAGCGGTTTGTGTCAGTTGATGGTTAGCGCGTCTGCAATTGGTGACCTCCAGTTTGTAACATTTTATGTACCTCTAATGTTACCAGTGTGCGTGAGTGTGTGTGTGTGTGTGTGTATTCTTATAAGCCTGCGTGTGCGCATGTGTGTTTGTGGGTGTGTGTGTGTGTGGTCCCTGTTGCCGATGCCTAATTTGTTACCTTATTTTGATTGACTGCTCCATCAGCGCGTCCCATCTATTCGTGATGTTAACATCAATGAGGCAATGACAGACACACAAAAACGACAGACAGACAGAGAGACAAATAGACAGACGGAGAGACAGACAAAAAATACAGATCGATAGATAGATAGATAGATAGATAGATAGATAGATAGATAGATAGATAGATAGATAGATAGATAGATAGATAGATAGATAGATAGATAGATAGATAGATAGATAGATAGATAGATAGATAGATAGATAGATAGATAGATAGATAGATAGATAGATAGATAGATAGATAGATAGATAGATTAGATAGATAGATTAGATAGATAGATAGATAGATAGATAGATAGATAGATAGATAGATAGATAGATAGATAGATAGATAGATAGATAGATAGATAGATAGATAGATAGATAGATAGATAGATAGATAGATAGATAGATAGATAGATAGATAGATAGATAGATAGATAGATAGATAGATAGATAGATAGATAGATAGATAGATAGATAGATTAGATAGATTAGATAGATAGATTAGATAGATAGATAGATAGATAGATAGATAGATAGATAGATAGATAGATAGATAGATAGATAGATAGATAGATAGATAGATAGATAGATAGATAGATAGATAGATAGATAGATAGATAGATAGATAGATAGATAGATAGATAGATAGATAGATAGATAGATAGATAGATAGATAGATAGATAGATAGATAGATAGATAGATAGATAGATAGATAGATAGATAGATAGATAGATAGATAGATAGATAGATAGATAGATAGATAGATAGATAGATAGATAGATAGATAGATAGATTATTAGATAGATAGATAGATAGATAGATAGATAGATAGATAGATAGATAGATAGATAGATAGATAGATAGATAGATAGATAGATAGATAGATAGATAGATAGATAGATAGATAGATAGATAGATAGATAGATAGATAGATAGATAGATAGATAGATAGATAGATAGATAGATAGATAGATAGATAGATAGATAGATAGATAGATAGATAGATAGATAGATAGATAGATAGATAGATAGATAGATAGATAGATAGATAGATAGATAGATAGATAGATAGATAGATTAGATAGATAGATAGATAGATAGATAGATAGATAGATAGATAGATAGATAGATAGATAGATAGATAGATAGATAGATAGATAGATAGATAGATAGATAGATAGATAGATAGATAGATAGATAGATAGATAGATAGATAGATAGATAGATAGATAGATAGATAGATAGATAGATAGATAGATAGATAGATAGATAGATAGATAGATAGATAGATAGATAGATAGATAGATAGATAGATAGATAGATAGATAGATAGATAGATAGATAGATAGATAGATAGATAGATAGATAGATAGATAGATAGATAGATAGATAGATAGATAGATAGATAGATAGATAGATAGATATTCTTTATGTATAATGAAATAGTACAATAGCTTCCTGAGTAAGAAACAAGTCAGACAAGTTTACAATACATTGAACTACCCAACAAACGCAAGGTCATCTGCATGTAAGGAAAGAGATCAGGCACTGTGTGATGATAATGATTATGAGTATACTTAACCAAGCAAACAAACATATAAATCACTGTATTTTGTGCATATCAACTATTTATTAAAGAGACATTATTTTTTTTTAAATCCTTAAAATCAGACTGAATTATAACTCTAACATGACTAATAGTTAATTCAACAGTTTTATTACAATGGATGCATTGACAGCTGCGTTGACTGGTTGAATCGTAGTTCTACATCTAGATAAGGTAGGTTGTAACAAATATTGAATGGCTGATCAAGTACTGCTTACAGTCCTGGCAATTTTGCACCAAAAACTGACTGGTAGATTATTTCCTGCCGATTTCGATTCCTTTTGAAGAAAAAAAAACAGTTCGACCGCTTTCAGACTGCTGTTTTCCATACCAGTTTATTCCGCCTTAAAACTAATTTTGTTTGCTTGATTTGGTAATTCTGCTGTTTAATTGTTTGTTTGTAACACTGATTAGATGATCATCTTCTACTGAATAGAAAGAAAAAAACACACACACACTGAATGGTCGATCTCGTAATTTTTGGCTGCTTTGAAACAGACGCTGATTTGTCAGAGAAAGGCAATACTCTTAAATTGGACAGCTTCCGACAAAAATTAATAAGTTTATCATGTAATGGTGCAGTATATGAACTACATTTAAATACACTGATTCGTTGATTTAGTCAATGCGCCCTTCAACTGAATAGTTTAAATCAAACACTGGTCTGACTGACCAAATATTGTACTCTTTAACTGGATAGTTTAAATCAAATACTGGTCTGACTGATCAAATATTGTACTCTTTAACTGGATAGTTTAAATCAAATACTGGTCTGACTGATCAAATACTGTACTCTTTAACTGGATAGTTTAAATCAAATACTGGTCTGACTGATCAAATATTGTACTCTTTAACTGGATAGTTTAAATCAAATACTGGTCTGACTGATCAAATATTGTACTCTTTAACTGGATAGTTTAAATCAAATACTGGTCTGACTGATCAAATATTGTACTCTTTAACTGGATAGTGTAAATCAAATACTGGTCTGACTGATCAAATATTGTACTCTTTAACTGGATAGTTTGAAACAGACGTTGCTTTGCTTGATAAATTAACGTTACGCTGTTACTTTTGGTGGGAAACAAGAACTGATTGCGGCACAAGCAAGGGGATTGTCGCCTGTGATGCAGCTCAGCAGGGTTACCTTTAAACATTCAAAATAAAAAGTTTTAGCTGGGTCGCTGGATGACACAGGAGCGGCGCTGATGAAAGCCACTGTGCAGGCAAGGACCAGTAGAAGACAAGTTAGGGCTGCCAGTTTATGCATGGTGGTCTTGGGATCGGGTCCTCGGTGGTGCCTCAAAACTGTAAATAAAAGCCCAAATATGAAGTTAAATAGTTTCAGATTGATAACATGTATTCACAGTCTTCGTTGTATAGCGGATAGATGCTGCTCTTCCGGTTCGAAAGTTGTGGATGCAAGTCTGCCGCATGCAGGAGGTTTTTCTTCTTCCAAAGATCAGGTTGTAGAACAATATCATATTTGGGGAAAGGGGGGGGGGGGGGGGGTTGGGGTGGTTGGGTGGGGTTGTGTACTGTCTTTGGACTACCTGTAAACAAAAAGTACCCTGCATGGTGATGAAAAATGCGACGCCCCTTGTGAGAATGATGATGATACTAACCAACAGATTAAAATCAAAGACATAAACCAGACTCAGAATATTACGTTGTATATTAGGAACCATTTATTATAGTGACGTGATTCTTGTTTTTCCCAAAACCTTAACATTGTAATAAATTACATCTACAACTTGAGTTATTGTTAATTTAAATATTACTGAATGCGTTGACACAAGCATTGATTAGTTGAATGCGTAACTCTACAGCTTGATTGATGTTTTTTTAAACAAGCATTGATTGTCAAATCAAAACATGCTACAGTTTATTGGTTGCTTCGAAGGAAACATTGATTTCTTTTCTAGAAGTTTCTACTGTTAAATGTGATATTTTAAACGGACTGACTGACTGACTTTCTACTCCACTAGGACATCACACAAGCGATAAACACCCGATGACATAAAGTTCCACCATGCGGATGAGGATCGCCGTGGAGTGGTACCAGAAACCGCGTTCAGACAATTGGCCATATTTATGGCCTGCCTTTATTGCGGCCCCTGGAAAAAGCCAGGGTGGGGCTTCAAATAACAAAAAATTTAGCCCTAAAAAGGACGTAAGGATATTAAACGGTCTATATTTTAAACAACCACTGACTGGTTTATCAAGTGATGTACAGTTGGAAAACCAACACTGGTTTGACTCTGTAAATATCCTTCTCTTTA